GTAGAAGAGGAAGTCAAAAAAACTAATATGAAAACTATTTCTTATATGGGAAGTGTTGTTGATACTACTGCTGATTGGGGAAATGATTTTATATTTCCAAGTAGTAAAAAAGAATCTAGCGCTATCGATATCTCAACTCCAGCGACAAATATAGATGATTGGGATAGTGATTTTGGTTCATTTTCATCTACTACTCTTCAACAACCTTCACAACAAAATAATGGAACATCTGTGTTGAATGGTGATGATTGGGATACTGATTTTAATTTCTCTCCTGTAAAAAGTGATGACAAAAATAAAAGTCAAAGTTCCTTGAAAGTAGAAAATAAAACAGATGATTGGGGAGCTGATTTCTCTTTTCCCGAAGACCTCTCTGTTCAACCAGCTAACAATGATAAGAAAACTAATGTTAATGATGATTGGGGAGATGCTTTTACTTTCCCTACAGAACCTAAAACAAATAAATTCATACAAAGTAGTTCAGAAAAAGCTAATAATTCAAAAGATATATCAGGAGATGATTGGGGAGATGATTTTGGATTTCCTGAAGATCAAAAAGATGGAAAAACAAATACTACTAAAGGAATTGATGATTGGGGTGACGATTTTATTACTACCCAAGAACCACCTAAAAGAAAAACTCTTGCAGGAAGAACTTATGTAGAGCAAACACTTAAAAAAAATACTGTTACTGAATTAACTAGTCAAGGTAAACAAGTTATTGTTGCTAAGAAAGCAGGAGGAAAAGAAGTTGCAATTGGAGTGGATGTGAAACAAGGAGGAGGAGTTATAGATAAACCATTTTTAGAAGAAGTGCCTAGTTTTGATGATATTGATGCATTAGATACAAATGATGAAGCAATGAAAAAGAAAAAAGAAAAGTTTATTAATAAATTAAAAGAGTCAGCAAAATTAATTGAAAGTATTACAAAAGAAACCCCACATAAACTAGAAGTTCTTATTGATGAATTATTTATGCTTAGTGAAGACTCTTCATTTACTGATCTCTCAGGAGTTATACATTCAGTTGGGCTATTTTCAATATTAGCTGTACTAGAAAAAGAAGAATTTGTTAATTGCTTTCCATTAAGAGTAAAGGCATTACAATTGATTAATTCAGTTATGGGAAAGAATTCTATGGTGAGGATGAATATTGTATTATCTGGGTGTCAAAGCATTGTTAATTTTGGATTAGCTCATGGTAAGTCAAATGATTCCTATATGAAAGAGTTAATTAAATTTATTCAATGTGTAATGTCAGACGAAACAAATAAATATCAATTAGCTCAGATGTTTATTAATTGTGGTGGATTATCATTATTTTATCAAGTTTTAACACTTAAATATGATGGAAAACATCAAACAACGATGAATATTATATTAGAAGTTATCAGTAAGTTTGTACATTCACAGAGTGATATTAAAACAAGAATAGATTTCTGTTCTCGTAATATTATTACATTATTATTCATTAAATATAAAGTTATTGAAGGATTGCTTCAATTTGTTATTCAAACATTTGTAAATAAACAATATGGAGCTTCACTTCATGCAATAACAATTTTAATTCAAATCATTGATGCTGTACTAAGAAATGAAACACAAATTAAATTAATTGTATGTCAAAAAATTGCAGCAACAGATTTATTAGGAACGTTATGGAGAAATATGGATAGTTCTAATATCCCTAAAGGTGAAAGTGATGATGGAAAAGATTATATATCTATTCAAGAGGATGTATTATTTAATGTATGTAAATTATGCAAAATATTAATGACAGACTCAGATTCAGACACTATCACAATATTGTTAAATGCTAAGATTATTTTCTTTATAGTTAAAGTATTATTTAGGTGTGATGCTGTTGATCCACCTGAATCAAAAAAGAATAGACTAAAATTTATGATGAGAAATGGATTAATTAATAATGTTACACAATGTTTAGATATGTTATGCAGTTCATTACAAGTAAAATATAAAGTATGTTTAGAGTTATCATCTTATCAAGGAATTTTTGTTTTATTAAAGAATTTTTGTATTTATGCTAAGTCTAATTCTAAAATTATTGAAGAAAACTCATTCAATATTATTATTGATGTTAGTCGTTCATTAACAAAACAACAAAGTTCAAGCGATTTTATAACAAATAATGCATTAGAATTCCTTATTAATTATTCAGCAGGAAATGTACTTCGACCTCATGTTTTTGCTGCTTTCAGGGCACTATATGAATCAAATAAGAAAAAAGGATTAAAATTATTATCAGAAGCTAAATGTGTATTACATTTATTAAATACTTTCAAAAGATGTAACTTTGCTGATGGAATTTGTGCATCAGAATTAAGAGATTTTTGTTCAATGTTAAATGATCATGATGAACTAACCTTGATGTATTCTAAAACTACATTTTTAAGAGGGACTGCTATGATATTAAAAAGTGTACCTTGTGACCTTATTGAAACAAAAAAGAATTTTGCTATGTTATTAAAATCACTTATCAAAGCTAATCCTAAACCAAGCGAAATACAATTTAAAGAGAAGGTTTTAGTTGACTTAGAAGAAACAATGAAACAAAGTGAAATGGAAGGAAAATTTGTTATAGTTGATATTGTTGAAGAATGTATTGCATTGATATTAGAACCAAAAAAGACAAAGACAAATGAAAAGAAACATAAAAAAGATGAAACTAGTTCACTAGAAGAAAAGAAAAAGAAAGATGATGATGAAAGTAAAACTAAAGTACCAACAAAAACATCACCAAAAGGAGATAATAGAGCACATAGAAGAGGTGTCTCATTTGGTAAGTTCGGTAATTCAGGTCTTTTTGGAAAACATGACTCTAGCGAAAACTCAGAAGATAAGTCTGAAGAACATATGTCTTCTTCTAAACAAGACAAAAAGATTCCACCAAGTCCAGAAACACCTTCGTCATCATCACAGTCACCAAGTTCAACTAAAGCACAATCACCACGTACAAGTAATCAAAATATTATGGGTTCTGTCCCATTAACTACAAAAATTACTAATGTCCCAACATCATCAACTAGTTCAAATTCTAAATTTGCACAAAGCACTCCTGTTAATAATACTCAATCTAAGTTAAGTAGTAATAGTACATTAAAAGGAAACGGTACATTACCTACACGATCTTCTGTTGCTATGAAACAAACAACCCTAATTGAAAATCAACAATCAATTTCATCTAAACCAAAACGTTCATTCTTCTCATTTGGTAAAAAGTAATGCACTTCTTTCATTGTTAATTTCAATTATTTTTTAATTTAGTCTTTAAAAGTATTAATTTAAAACAAAATAAGTAAAATTAAATTCAATTCCAAATAAACCAATTGTGAATATTCTTTGTTTTCTGTTCAAATGAATAACATAATGATATTAATTGGTCTTGGATTTCCATTGGACATACTGAAAATATTGGAGGAATAGAAGAAGAAGAAAGATTTAATGATTGAAGAATGTCTTTCATATTTAAAGCATTTTCTTCACTTAGTTCATTAGAATAGTTGCATTGTTTTAATAAAAAGATGATTATAATACTTAAAGGAATTTGATTCTTTGTTGATTCAATAAATGAGTTGAATGAAACAATATATTTTATTGACTCGATAATCACTGGCGTTAGTTTTATAGCATTTCTTCCTTGAAGTAATTGAACAAAATAAAATATACAACTATCTGTTATACCCCATTTTTGAATCATTTTATTCAATAATACCAACGAAGGTCTACTATCAGAATAGAAAGTGTGTGGATTAGAAATTTCGGCTAATATTGTTTCATATACTTTTCTTGATTTAAATGAATTAGGAAGAGAATAATAAAACGAAGTAGATTCTGCTAAGGCTTCTAATAATAGTATTGTTGCTGTAGATGGATATTCTTCAAGCCTATTCATGAAATTAAACGGATTTAGTGAAATTTTACACTCATTTCGTTTAAATAAATAGGAACTGACTACCTTCCATAATGGGTTAACTTGTTGAACAACAACCATTATCATTTTAGAATATAGTATTGCAGTTGGTGCAGATATTTGTTGGTTTGCAGTATCAATTGAATTCCGGAAGATAAACAAAAATGCTTGAATGAATGAACGTTGACAAAAACTATAAAACGTTGTTTTTATTTTAAGAATATAAAGTGTTTTTTGAAGAATAGAATATCCCATTTTTCTAATATTTTCATCTTCTGCTGCTGTGGCTATCATAGCAAATGATAAAAATCCATTGTAAATATATGATCTGGGTTGAAAAATATATTTTTTAAAGACAATGGCTCTGTCTAATGTATGGTATGTTAATGGTAAAAGATAACATGGATCATACGGATATTCCTCTTCTGTATCTTGTGTTTGTATTAAGACAGAAAGATCTTCTTCATTACTCTTTCTTGAAAATGGAAAATGACTTAAACTATATTCCATATCTTTTTTATTAAAGAATATAGTATTGTCAAACATTCTATTGATTGATGTTTTATAGTCTAGTCCATGTCTTCCTGCAACCAATGGTAATTTTGGATATAATGGTGAGTATTGAATAATTAAATAAAAAATCATTCTATCTGTATTTGACATTGTCCCATTATAACTCTCATATATCATTTTCATCATATCAAACGTTGGATTATTCTCTGATTTTTGACCATATAATTTTATTAATAAAACACTAAAGTCATGGGTTATTGGTAATTCCCATTTAGGTTTGAAGGATGTTTCTTGAATTTTTAATAATACTTCTGACTGAATATCTTTATTTTCTATGACGGTAAGTAATAATGAAACAATACCATAACCATATCTGGTAGATTGAATTGTATCAATAATCAGTTTAATCCATTCTTCATTTGATAATAATATGTTATAATTGACATATTTTATTATGCAACAACAAATATGAATTAATTCTTTATAATATTCATTCTCGTGTAAAGTAAAGTTCTTAACTTGTTCAATAACTTGTTTAAAAATAACCTGTGACTTATCCCCAAGAAAAGAACAGTCTTTAGTTATAAGAGCTACAAGTGTATTAAAAATAGTATGTTGAGTAATATCCAATGATTCTTCAATTGGATAATATACTCTAGTATACTCTTTAATAAAAGACAATGTTGGTTCTTCACAATATGTAATATACTCTTTTAATTGATTAAATATTAAAGGATTAATAAAAACTTTTTGTGTATTTAATACAACATGAATTTGTTCTAATGTAAGAGTAATCCACTCATGTTTATTACTTCTAATAGACTCTTCCAATAGTAAGTTAAGATAAAGTGATGTTTCTTCTTCTTGAATATTTTGATTACATTTACTTAACACAAAGTTAATAGAAAGTGGTGTCTTATTATTAATTGAATAAATCATTAAATTAACTGGAATTAAAATATCTTTGGAAATATTTTCAAAAGAGTCAATTCGTTTGATTGGACAATTATGAAGTACTAATGACTGAACAAATTCTTTTTTGTTTTGAGCCAAATAAGCAATAATTTGTAATGTTTGCTCTTTTTCTTCATTCCAAATTCCTTTCCAATACCATTCAAATAAATGTTTATAATTTTTTAATTTTAATAATCCAATTTTTAACTTTTGAATAAATGATTTATTTTCATATACCTTTAAGAGTTGTTCTTGAGAATGTGGAAGTAGTTTAATTAAAAGGAGATACGTTTTCATAACACATTTATTAATTTTCATTTTACTTAAATAACTACCAAAATATTTATTATAAATTATCTTTTTTATAACTGTTTTTTTTGTAATATTAAATAATGTTTCAATAAGAATATTTGATGGTGTTAAATTTGTATTATTACAATAAAGGAATAACTTAGATAATGTAATATAATAATTTTCATTTGTTAAAAATGGATTAAAGAATGGGATAATTGTTTTAGATATTGTCTCTAATAATTCTTTACTCATTTTTTTCTTTGAAGAAAATATAAGTAATAATTCAATAAGATTATTTGCCATTACTTTATAAACATTTGAATCAAATAATTTCCTTGTATGATTTAATTGTAATAAAATATTTGTGACATGTGAATCAATTACATCACTTTCAATAGAAAATTCACGATATTCTATTTGACTAATTAATTCTTTAATTTCTTCTTTTAAGTGATATACAACATCCCCATCGTCTATTTGTTTAACTTGGTATTTGTCTCTTAAATATTGTTTTACTTCTTCATCAAATATCATTTCATGTCTTAGTCTAAAACAACATAATAATAATTGAATTCTCTGAAATCCTTTACTTTCTTTCATTAATGAGATTAATGTATTTTTACGATCAACAGGCATTTCTGTTTCTTCATCATTAAGAAGGGTTTGATAATATATAACCATACATTTTTCTTCATTAGTTTTACCAATACCAATTTGATGACCTAACAATATAAAATGGAATAAAGCAGGAAGATCATATTGAGCTGGCATTTTTTTATAACAATTTCTTGAATCAATAATTGATTTTAATGTTTTTGAATGAGTTGCTTTACTAAATTTTAATATAGAACTAATGTCATTTCCTAAATTTGATCTAAAGATAAAGCTTTCATATGGAGAGTATTTGAAAATTATCTGATCAAGAATTTTATTATATTCATCTCTAAGTAAAGGAAAATCTTTTATTAATTCATTTACTCTTAATGAAATAGGAATAATCATTGCAGGAAATTGTTTTTTCGCAATAGAACTTGAAGTAATATTACTAATCCAGTTAATAGATTCTCCAAGTTCAGCAGCAAAATGCAGTCCTCTATAAAGAACTAATTCATTACTTGATTCTAATGAACGTAGAACTACCTGTTCCATTCTTAAAGTTGAATGATGAAATACAGTTGGACTTACTCTATGAAGAATTTCTAATGTTTGTAAACATTTTATAAAAGCAAAGTTTGAAGATTGAGAAGTAGCAAGAGCATAGATTGAATGTGCATCAGGAAATTCTTGACAAATACTATCCATTAATATTTGGTCAGCATGAGTAGATTGTGCATAAACCTCAGTTCTTGAAGCCATAGCAAATAGAATTAAAGCGGCTTGATATTTAAATAATTTATTAAATGAAGCAAGTTTAGAAATAGCAGTTTTAGGAATAAAAATTAAACATCCTTTAATAAAATCATAAGAAGAAATATTAAGAGTATTAACTGGTAATTTCATAGTATTTAACATTTCTAATAAAAAAGAAGTTTGAATATAAGTGGGTAAATCATTAGTAAAATTGAATCCAAAATTTTTACTACTTAAATACATTTGAGCAACAATTGCAGGTTGATTTTTAAAGATAGATATCATTAATTTTCTTGTTTCTTTATGGTACATATAAAAATTTTCCATTCCATTTACAAGAGTATTATAATGTATTGGTTTATTTGTAGGAATTAATGGAGTAATATATCCAGGAATAGTATAAATCATATATAAAAATTCTTTAAGTAAAGGAATAGGTTGAGGCTCAATAAACATATTATAGAGTGTTGTTAAAATATTTTTCTTAAAAAAGAATGAGAATTGTTTATCTTTTAAATATGGTGATTTTAACATTTTAATTAATGCTTGAAGTAATTTTGTTTGAATATCTTCTGTATCATTTATTGCATCTAAAATGAATAGTGATAATGGATTTGCTGTTGTTAAATAATCATTTAAATATGTTAATGCAAATTTAGAATTACATCCATCTGATAAAACATCAATAAATTCAACAATTACTTCTCTAAAATCTGATATTTCTCTTTTAGAAGCAACATTAAAAATATCTTTCCAAATTGGATAAGTAATACCAACTTTTGCATAAACAAATTTAAACATTTTAATATCTTTTCTTAATAAAAAAATTATTAGTCTAAGACATGCTATTCTTGAATGAAGACGTGAACTACTTAACCATTTCATAAAATTCGTTAATAATTCGCCAAATAAATATGACACTGTTGTTTGTAATACTTCTTTCTCTTCTTCTAAATTCATTGAAAAAATTTCTATTAAAACATTTATTGCTTTCTCTTGAATAAATCCAGGTGTTCCATTTGCATTCATTTTGAACGTGTCTACTAATTCATTACATCGTGGTGAATGTTTTAAATAATATCGAATCATTGAACCATCATTTTCATGACTTTTATATTTTTGTACATATTCAATTAACTCATCTAATGCGGAATTGACAATAGAATTGTCTTCATTTAATAATCGTGCAAAGACAAGTTGGTTTTGCATGAATATCTGTGATTTGCTTTTTGTGTTTTTTCTTTTTTTTTTTTTAATACCAAATTTTTAGAATTTAAAATTTATATTCTCACAACCCTTTTTTGTTATTTAATTTTTTATTTTCTTTCCATATTCTTTCATTATTAATTATTTACTTTCAAATAAAGTAATAAATCTCTATTTTTGATTAACTTTATTGTATTATAGTAAAACTATTTCTTAAACTAGAAAATAAAAAAATAAAAATCATCTAATAATAAAGAACTATTAAAATATTTTAATAAAATTAATAGTATCTTTAGTTATTTAACTAGTTAAAAATAAATAATAAAAATATAAAAAAGTAAAGAAAAAAATATAATACAACCAAAACCAATTTAAAGGGAGGACAAGGGCCCTAAAAGAGCACTATTAGATTATTTAAAAAGGATAGAATGAGATTAAATCTTCGATGAAAAGAAATACTGCTACATTATTACCTGCTGCTCGAGTTAAACGTATTATGCAAGAAGATGAAGAAGTTGGAAAAATGTCAGGGAATGTACCGATGGTTATTGCCCGTGCAACTGAATTGTTTTTAGTAGATCTTATTAAAAAAACAAATACTGTTGCGGAAGAAAAGAAGTCGAAAAGTGTTAATTTATCACACTTACATGAGTGTGTAAAAAATACTCCTGTTTTTGATTTTTTAATAGAATTGATTGAGGCTAAAATGGCTGAAAATCCACCAGAAGAACGTAAACGTTCAAAAAAAGATTCAGGTGATGAGGCAATTACCTCATCAAAGAAACGAAAACTGGAAGAAGATTAATAAAGTCTACAAATTAAAATTTAATGTATTTTTCTTCATATTTTGTTTTTATTTTATTCTAAAAAATTGTAGTGAGAATTCTTATTTTCTGTTAAATTTCTTTAATAAAATGATATTTAATAAAAATTTGAATAAGTCAATTCTGTGAGTATAGAACAAAAGTAATATGATTCAAACTATTATTTTAACTATAATAGAAAATAATTCATTTATTTTTGTCATTATCAAGTGAAATTTACTCACTTCAATGAATATTAATATAAATTATTATAAACATTTCAATGAATATAGAACAAATGACTAACAAAATAAAGAAATTGTTGAACCAAATTATGTAGTCATAACTACTAGTTAAATACTTCAAATAAAAAGATATTAACAACAAGAATTTTATATCAATGAGAAGAAAAATTCTTTCTTGTATCAAATTATCATTCTTAAAATCAAGGCACAAGCAAAAATAGTCACATTTACCCAAAGAAGGATTAATTTAGAGAATTATTATTGGTTTTTGAACAGAAAAAGTAAAAAAAAAACACAAATGAAACAAATGTTATTTATTTGTTGTAAGTTGATGGTAATGAAATTAATTTTAATTGAAAAATTACATTCAGTGTATAGAAAGTATTTTTGTTGTATTAAATGATAGTATATTTTTAAGACTCTTTCATTTAATAAAGTCTATGTTATTCTCTTCAATAAATAATACATCACTCAAGTCATCTTTAAGACATTACATATATAGGTATTAAGTAACTTGTTTCATTAAACAAAATATTTCAGATAAACTCACTTATAATATGATTAACAAAGTCTATTTCCTTAATAATACAAAGTTCCTGTTTCTGATAATTAGAGTTTTAACTAACAAATTAATATTTGTAATAGTTTTTTTCTTTGTATAAATGAAAATGATTAAAAAGAATTAATTTATGTAAAAAGAAACTACAAGATTTATATATTAGTAAATGTTTAATATTTGGCAAAAAGAATTTGATATTCATCATTAACACTAATCATATAATTAATGTCATAATCTTTTTCTTCAGGCCGCCCTCGAGTTTCGATATTTCTTTTTTGTTGAAGAGGATCACTGCAATAGAGGAAGAAAATACAACTTTGCTTCCTTTTCAAAGCAATAGAAACTTGACCCTTTACTAATTCAAAAACACCTTGAATAGAATATTTACAACTATCAACTCTAGTAAAATGACAATCATCAAATCGAGGAATGTTATATAAGTCATATAACTTTTCAACTCGGGCTTTTAAATCCTCAAATTCAAACTCACTTATCTTACCATTTCTATAAGATGCAGCTGCAAAAATGTTAATAGAATCTGCTGGACTTCTCTCCATAATTACATACTTTTTATTTTGTGCCTGTTCCATTTGTTGTCTATAACAATCTATAATACTTAATTGAAACTCATACACTGATCCATTACCTTTGAGTGTATCTTCTAATTGTTTTTTAGCTTCAACTGGTTTATAGTCAACATATTCCTTTACAAATATACTTTCTCCTTTTGGTAAACTTCTTTTTAATCTTCTAATTAAAGTAGACTTTCCAACTCCAACACCACCAGTAGCAATGATAAATTGTTGGTATTTCATAATACCGTTATTTGATGTTTCTTAATCCTAGTTTCTTCTTTAAATATCTCCTTCGTTTCTTTTTTTTTTTGGTTAAAGTTAATAAACCTTAATTTTCCTTTATTTTTTCTTTATTTTTAGAACAAAAACGAGGGCATCATATTTTTTACTTCTTTTTTATAACCAATTTAGGAGAAAAGGATGAAAAAAGTAACGTTTTGTTTCGTTTCTTAGAAAATGAAATACAAAACATAATTAAAAATCAAAGAAAATTAGTTGATAGAACTGAGATTTCCCTTTAAGTCGTTCAAGGCTTTATTCAAAATGTCATTAAAGTGAGACTCATTCACTCCATCCTCAATTAGTTTAAATTTTTCTAATACTAATTGTTTTTGTTGTTCTGTTTTTTGAGAATTAAATAAAGCAGTTTTATATTCAGTAAAGAAGACAGGGAAATGTTTTATAAGTTGAACTAAACAATTTACTCCTCTTAACTGATTTGAGCCTTCTGTAAATAGCATTGTTTCCATAGAGGCTTTCATCATTTCTTTGAAATAACTTTGACTCTTTCCAATTTGAGACTCAAATGAAGCAAAATTTTCTGTTTCTCGTGTTTGAACTGAGTCATAAGTATCAAAAATCTGAGATACAATCTTCATGGATGAACGAATGATATTTGGATCAGTAGATTGTAATCCATTAATCAATATCATCAATAATTTTTGGAATGTGTTTACGTCAGAAGAAAAGATAAATCTATATAATACACTAAACATTCCTTGAAGTGTAGTAAAGACAACTACTCTAAACTTTGATTCTTGGAAAATTTTATCTAATGGGATTGCAAATAAAGTTAACATGATACATTGCATTAAAGAAGGTAGAGCAGGGTCATTATAATAAATTAATACTCCGTATGGAATAAAATTACCAGTCAAGAAATTATTAAATATAGTAAATATTCTTGGAATAGAATTATCAAATAATTTTTCTGGTAATAATGGTAATAATGGTATAATAATCTTAATAGTACTAACTATTGCTCTGAATAATAAAATAGCGTTAGGAGATGAATTAGAGAAGTTGATTCGATTATACGTTGAATTAGTAAATTGAACTAAAAATTTGAGAGTATTATATAACAATAATGGACATTGTCTTGTTGTAACTTGATTAAAGAATAATGAACCATTAGCATCCACTCCAGCAAATAATACATTTTCATAGTAATCAAAGAAGAACCATTCAAAGAATTTAATATACTGGGATGCAGTAGTTGCAACAGTTAATAATCCCTGTAAGTCAATTAGAATAGATAATAACATATCAACATTACTTACTAAATCATTATTAAATGTACCCGATTGAATACTTGTTATAAGGAATTTCAATTTTGTATCAAATGGTCTCATAAATTGCATAAAATCACAACTCTCGTCTTGGAATAATATTTTACCAAGAATACTATAATATTTTCTTCTTAACTTAACTAATTCTTCATTAGTTGTTGATTGAGATAAGAAATCAAAATACCTATTAGCATGGTTTTGCATTAATTGTTGTGTAAAAGGTAAAGATGCAATAAATTTACTTTGTGAACAAGAAGAAACAAAAAGTAAGAATGTGTCTAATGTTTTATCAATAAGTGATGTATTTCTTGGGAATGACGTTAGATTAAATGAAATTTTTTGCATAATTTTACCAACTATATCTTCAATTTTATCTATTCCTAATACTTCTCTTAAAGGTTGAATTGTATCAGTTCGATATTGTGATGCAGAAATATATAAATTCTTAAAATTACCAAAGAATTTCATATATTCAAATTCTACTTTTACTTCAATTGATTTTTGATTTGTTTTGTTTACATAATTTATGATTGAATCAGTTAAATTCATACATCTGAAAATTTTACCAACTAATGCAGCTTGAATTTGTTCATTATCATTTCCATTACTATATGTTCTATTTAACATTGCATTCATTACAGTTAATAACCAACACATTTGTGTTTCTAATTTTTTTCTCAATGGAGAATTATAATCAGTAGCATTAGATATTTGTGATAAAGTATTTACAATAACTTCTATACGTTCTGTTAAAAATCCAGCCATTTCTTTATATTGTGCTTTTGCTAATGAACTTAATGTTTCCATATAATCTTGTAATTTAAATTCTTCTTCATCAATAACAGTGTCATCATCAGAATAATCCATTACTTCAAAAAATTGTAAGACTGAATTAACTAATGCTTGAGATAAACATAATGCCGTTTGATTTAATAATGTTTCAGTTTGTGTATCTCCATTAAGTTGAGTAGAAGTAATGACTTTGTTCCAAAAAGAAAGTAAATAAAGAACAGCATTTTTATTATCTGACCAGTTATTAAAAGTGTTAATAGTAAATTGAGAAAAACAACTGATATGTTGTGTTGTAATAATTTGATGAATAGGATGATTAGTTTTTAATCTATCTAAGAATCTACAAAAAACAAATCGAGTCTCTGAATTATCTAAACCATATCCACTTTGTACAATTTTTGATGCACCATCAATTAAACAATGTTGTAATCCTGATCCATCTGCTTGCCTTGCCCATAATG